AACTTGACAAGGGAAAAGACACAAATAATCATGTCAACACGTATATACTTAAAGACAGGAAGAAAAATTCTACTCTAGTACAGAACTGGACGTTCAAGCTAGGGGTAGACGTTCGAGCTAGATATTATTTACTAACAGGCACAGCATGGTTACTTGAGGCTTACACAGCGAGAACCAATTAAAGGTGGCTAACATGAGAATGCTATTATTTCAATCGGTTCCAAAAGGGTTACATCACCGGCTGGAACGAAGACGTGCGTCGGCAGACTTCCCCGGGGCTCGTTCAGCCGAGACCTGGCAGTAGTTGGATCCGGCGTTCGTTTCTTCTCGGCGGTCTTTGTGATACGTCGTGATACGTGATGAAGGCGTGTGTTGGAAGACTTCTCCGGAACTCATTCAGTCGTAATCCGGGCATTAATTGGATTCGGCGTTCGTTTCGTCTACGTTGTTGTCTAATGCGGAGGGTTGCTCCTTGAACACTCGTAGTGTTTTAACTCACTTCTTGAATACTCGTAGAAATCTGCTCGTGGGAGTCTGCGGGGTTGTACATCAGTGGCTTCCGGCAAGTAATATCGGTTGTTCTTTTTGATTCGTATTTGACCACTTTTACACTTGTCGCGGCAGGTCGGGTAGCTCTTCAAATCTCGTACACGCGGTGACCTTTCCACAAATACGTCTACCTATCGGCTAAGTCAGAAAAATACCGTCCAGTAGCTCTACACGTCACTGCGTCAACGAGACGGCCGATTGCTTCAAACTCCGGTGCACAACTCGTTCGCGGTCGGCCCGCTCTTACGTGGAATCTGATAAATAGTTCTTGGAGAACTGAAATGATAAGGAAATGTTTAGGGAAGTTATTAATTCAGGCAAATCAGGAAGGGAACTCGTTTTGCTGGGATGGCAGAGAGATTTTTGAAATGATGAGACGCCGTTGAAAAGGCGGAGATTTGATATGATAATGCGCAGTTGATAGGCGCGACGATTTTTGATCGAGAGAAAATGCACACTGATCAAGCTGAGGAAATTTTGTAGGTAGGGATAGGTTTTTATTTATTCTTTGTTTTTAGTTCACCAACCTGCCTGTCTGAATTCTTAAACGAGAGATACGCAGGAGACATTGTTCTCGCTGCAACCCGTAAATGTTGAAACTCACGTAGTGCTTTAGTTCTGCGATAAATGAGTTATAAAATCCGAAGTCCGGAGTAACATGATTTAAGAAAGTAAAAGGTGATAAAGATGTAAGAATTGAATAGGGAATGATATTGATGTGTATGAGTTGTATGGACGATTCTTCTCTGTGCGAAGGCTATTTGATAGAAATGTAACGTTGTCGTGTCATGAGTTAATATGAATAATTCTTATATTAGGTGAATATTTTGTAGGATGTTCATTTTTCATGTGTTTACGAAGGAATTTAGGGACCGTGAGATATTAGGCTAACGAATTGAATGTTGGAATAATGATCGTTTACTGAGAATGTCAAGAAATAATTCATGTGTACGAATTGTGGTCACGAATAATTTAATTTTATCAATTGATTGTAATGTAAGTTTGTTCGCTTTCAACATTAATAAATATCACTAGGATAGAAAAAAAAGTCTTGGGCCTTTTTTTTTAGGGAAGTTGAATGAAAATGAATAAAGTAGGTAATATTGAACATAGGTAATATTGAACATGTACTATGGGTAGATGTTAAGAATGCTAAGAATGCGGGTCGAAGCTATATAGCAAGTGTGTAAGGTTGTTTCGAGACCGTGGGAAGCATTGAACGTTGGCGAGGAAAATTCCATTCGAAGGAATGTGGCGTCAGTTCAAGGGTTAGGCTTAACAGTGCGCGACTCTAGCGTATATCATTGGTAATGGTTATAAAACAACTGTAGCTCTGTAGAAATTTCTTCAGTTTTTATTTAAATGAGGTTCAAGGATCAAATTTGAAGTCAACTTCGTTTCTGGCTATTAATTGAACGGTGTGGACAAGGTTTTCTTGGTTCCGTCTCCAATATAAAGAAATTGAGGCAGCTGCCGGGTCGTCAGCGTATACGTGAAACGCACGTAAGTTATGCCCCGTCGCCTCGGTTTTGTTCTGAAGTAGAAAAGAAAAATACTTTTAAATTGCTGCTTATAAAGAAATATAAATAACTAATTAGCGAAATAATCGAGTTATAATTGGCAAGAATGATTCAATAGTTAAATGAGATAATTACCTTAAATGAAAAATCCATTTAAGAGGCTGTAGCCAAGTAATTGAGCCGATTTTAAGTTAGTAAGAAAAATTAGTCCAGTGACTGTTTAATTTAACGCATGCGGTTAATTGGAATTGATAAGAGTTGCTGAGAAGCAACTAAGATTTTAATTTGAACACACTGGACTAATGAAGATAATTAGAGAATGGCATGCAAATGATGGAGGTTGATGATTTAAGAGGAAATTTAATGATTTAATAGAGGCAAGATTCGCTGGCAAAACCGGCGGCTATCAAGGCTCGTCTCTTTTTAGATCAAAGGTACGGAGCGAAGTAAACTCTTTCTTCACTTTAAGAAAGATGGAAATTTTAAATATAAATTCTAACATTTCAAAATCTCTACTAAATTAAATTTCTAATAATATAAGGACCTTAAAAATTCGCGCCAAGGGTTGTTGGTTCTACGGCGGTGACCGTCACGCACGTACGGTCTGCAGTTAGCGGACGTAACGGCTGCAGCCGTTAGGCCGGCGGTGTTACCGTTTTCGAACATTGACGGTTGACGGTCGCGAGAAACCCAGACTTATCGAAACAGCCAAGAGTGCGGTGAGCACGTCAAGAAAATCAACATCAACACTACGGCTGCCACTCAGCCGTGAGACAACGCGAGAAGCCACGAATTGTACAACGATTATAACGCACGTCATCAGAAGATCTAAGTTTGCCGTCATCAATAGTACGGTCACTATTTTCATCAGAAGAAGCGGAACGGTCACAGTCATCTCGACCGCAGTACGACAACGGAGTTGGAGTATTTTCATCGACTATGAAGACGAGCACCACTATTCCGAAGTACGGTCATCATAAACTCTACGGTTAGACCGGCCACGAGACATCACTATAGCGCGTGAAATACGACAGTTATGAAGAAAGAGCAACTGTGAAGAGAGACGCGCGGCTACAGCTGCAGTACCCGGGTACGGCCACTTGGAATACGGCTGCAATGCGCGGTGACAGCCGCGGTACGGTCGCTGAACATACAGCCGTACGGTCGTTTACAACAGTCGTACGGCTCAACGGAACTGCAATGTATCAACAATTTCCGGTAAAATTAGATAATTTTACATGATGATGATTTAACTGATAACTTGGACTTTTTGATTGTGATCATATTACATTTTTCAAGTACTAGAGATATTTGTTAACGTAGGATGTGAACTTAAATTTTCCAATTTAATATGAAATGTATCAGTGTTTCATTGCAACCCTCTCTCTGTATTTTGCCGTAACCTTTCCAAAAAGAGAACCTTTTCATACGTGCCAAATCAAGCGCCACTCACGACCACCTGACAAAACGATAAGTAACGTCTCTCTTTTCATTTTAAACTCCTATAAATTTAATCAGGTCAAGTAGCGGTTCAAGTAGCGGGTCAAGTAGCTGGTCAAGTAGCGGGTCAAGTAGCGGGTCAAGTAGCGGGTCAAGTAGCTGGTCAAGTAGCTGGTCAAGTAGCGGGTCAAGTAGCTGGTCAAGTAGCTGGTCAAGTAGCGGGTCAAGTAGCTGGTCAAGTAGCTGGTCAAGTAACGGGTCAAGTAGCGGGTCGAGTAACGGGTCAAGTAGCTGGTCAAGTA